GCAAGAGTTTGATCAGGAGAGAGAGAGAGAGAGAGAGAGAGAGAGAGAGAGAGAGAGAGAGAGAGGGAGAGAGAGAGAGAGAAGCGCGAGAGATGCGGGCAAAGGAGGAATCTAGGAGGAGGGAAGCAGAATGAAAGATAACAATAAAAAAGGCAAAGCGACGTACGTACGCCAGACTATGTAGGTCAAGACGGTCTCGTCTGTCGGTAATCCCCCCAGCCCAGCCCCTACTCCCGCTGTATGGCCACACCCGGCGTATTGTCTAACTTGTGCACGCGGCGGCGGCAGCAGCAGCTTCGGATCGTTCTGGCGGAATGAGGAACTTTACGTGAGGAAGCGCGAGGTTCGGAGAGGGGGGGGGGGGCTATGCTGCACAACTACCTGCTCATGCGCCCTCCCCCGCACCGTGCCTGCTGTCCGCCCCGCTTACCACCCCCGCACCCCGCCACTCCCCACCACTCCCCACCACGCCCCGCCACGCCCCGCCCCGCCACGCCCCGCCGCTGTAGCTGCTGCTCGCTCTGATGGAAGTTTTAGTTTATTCCGTGGCGCTGGCGGCCGCTCGGCGCTCCTCCTCGTCGCCAGGACCGCGAAGATCGACGAGTATAACGAGGGGACGTGATCGCAACGGGGACGCTATTGTACTCCATTTCGAGTGCGGCGCGGTTCGTATGAGAAGCGCCAGGTGGGAAAACCGAGACGCAGAGGAGGGGGGGGGAGGGGTTGGAAGCTGTTAAGGGGCATTTCCCTCTAAAAGAAGGCGACAGAAATGGCTGGATGGCCTGGGGCGCTCTGTTATGAAATTGTTAAGAAAACGCCGCACCGACTCTCTCTCTCTCTCTCTCTTGCTCTCGTGCACTCGCTCTTATGTGTCCATCATCATGTTTCCTCTCTCCCGTTCTGCCTTCGCCGTCCTCCTGCGGTAGGATCTCAGTCAGCAGGGTGGGTTGCCGTAAGAATAGGGGGCGGACAGGAAACTATACGTGCAGGCAGAAGAGGAGGACAGGCGGGGGCGCTGGTAGACGGACGGACGAACAAGGCTGTACGGAGAAGGCGCGCAACGCTGAACCTGCCGCTGTCAGCAGCAAGAGTTTGATCAGGAGAGAGAGAGAGAGAGAGAGAGAGAGAGAGAGAGAGAGAGAGAGAGAG